AGAGAGAGAGAGAGAGAGAGAGAGAGAGAGAGAGTACATGTAGACTCCTGATATCTTGCCTGAAATGTTCGTTTTTTTTTTATTTTACATTTGGGCTTTTCTTGTATAATAATGTAACAGTATTCTACCTCACTATTTCTATCACTTGATGGGGAAGGTCTAGGCCCTGTAGTCAGCCCTTTTAAGTATTTTAAAGTAGCCCTGTAGTCCGCTCTTTTAAAGTCTTTTTTCGGTTCTCCCTCCTCTAGTCTGTTAAGCATTGAATTACGGAATGAAATGTTGACGTTGGTTGTCGTCTCATTTTCCTTTTATTCGTTCTGTTTTGTTTCGCTTTGCTGCTATTTAGGAATATCTGCTGGGATGTATGTGAGGAGTGCAAAAAAATTATGCCCTGAGTTAGTCATCGTCCCTTACGATTTTGAAGCCTATGAAAAGGTATGTGGAACTTGCTTGTAGGCTTGCATCTCTTTCACTTGCCAGAGAGAGGGAACCAGAGAGGTCTTATTTGTGTTCTAAGTTCTAACTTTTTTTTTGAAGTCTTTCCCCCTTGTTGTTTCCACCTTTTTGTCTCCAACTTGTTTTCCAATGTTTCGCAGAAAACCTCCAAGATCTGAACTCTTTTCCCTATAGTGCCTGTTAAACAGTTAAAGACAATTTCTGTTTGAGTTGTTAGGCTGTTGCCCTGTCCATTGGGACATCCGTTATGATTGGAACGATACAGAGAAGATTAGCATGGCCCCACACAAGGATGACACACATAAATCGACAAATTGTCCATATTTCAAAAGTATGAAAAGATAAAGAAGAATGCAGGAGGCCAAGCGGCCTAGCACAGTGAGCACGCAAGTGGTACACACGAGGTCCTGGGTCCGATTCCCCACGACATCCATTCGATTCCCCACGACCCCCTGTGTGGCATACTAAGGCGCAACGGGAAGCAGAGGCCTCTCTTATTTGACATTTAAGGCCGAAGGATGATTCATATATGAGAATTGCCTCAACTCATTCTCGGTGAACTTATAAATAAGAMATAACGCGCGCGGGTCAGAATGAGTCAAATAAGGGCRCGAAGGCCACTCTGGCTTATTTATTTATTTTATTTATATAATAATAAGGCAACTTGAGTTGGAGAGCCGTGTGATGGGCGACCATCTCGCACGGTTYGGAGAGCACTTGTTACGACCGTCTAGGCTCGACTCTTTCTTCGAGCCTAGCGGTGGAACTCTTGACTCTATTCGTGTTTTAATGAAATTATGTACCCGTAAAAAATGGCCGGGAAATCCTGGCCTTACGGGTGACACCCTTGAGTTAGTTTTGGTGGAACTCTTGACTCTATTCGTGTTTTAATGAAATTATGTACCCGTAAAAAATGGCCGGGAAATCCTGGCCTTACTGGTACCACCCTTGAGTTAGTTTTGTTGTTTCTGAAGCAAGTTCCTGGTTCAAACCAAGGCTGGGCCAGCAACCGGCCGGATCACCTGCCCCGGTCCAACCGGGGCCGGACCGGTCCACGGGGGGTGAACCGGCAAAACCGGATGCCCCCAAAAAA